CACAATCATATTTACCTGTAAATAAAACATCTCTTGTAAGTTACAAGCATACTCATCAGGAATGCTAGTGTCAATATTTTGAAATCTGGACAGTCAGTCCAGAATGTATAATACATACACTTTTAAAAAATATCAAACTCAACTACAATCATATGCATATTCGTATGAGCATATAAATACTTGTGCACCATAAAATTAAAGTTACATTCTGTTTATTCTAAGAAACTACATTCCATGTACCATTCTAAGATTTGTGTTGAAGTACTTTTCCCCTAATTGTGTCCATACAGAAAACTCCCTCTAAAGATTTTACTACATTTTTTTTTTCTGGAATTCTGTGAGCATAATTTGAAAGAAAAAGTGTCACTATAAGGTTGTAATAATCACAAAGAAATCAAGAATGTTTTACATCTCTGCATCTCTCTCATTCTCTGTGAAATGAAAATAACTGAACACAAGAAAAATATTATGAGGAATTAAAAAAGACAGAACAAAAGCATAAAAAGAAATGCATTCCAAATATCCTGACACCTTTCATAAACTATATTTAGGATGGGCTTGCACACATAAACATATGAGCATTCATGCATGAGCCAGGATCTGTATCACTATAGGACCCCACCCACCCACCCTCTCCAATATGTGTGTTTCTTATTGCATTGGTTTTAAACTCTTGGTAGGCAGGTCAGATTTAAAGAAAAAACAAAAACAAATTTAATGTGATTCCTTGTGATTTTTTTTTACCATTTTTATAGATATATGTTAGTTCTTTCTTCAACAAATTCTCTTGCTTACAATAAAGCTTATTATTTAATATAGAATAGTCATCAAATATTAGGTGTAATCAGTTTCACTTTGTGTATTGCCAACCTATACTAACAGGCCTAGAGTGGACTAAAGCACTGACCGTTACGAATCACTGCCATCTCACCTCTGTCTGCATGAGTTTGAGACCAGACTCACTACCATGGGTGAGAAAGCTTGCCAGTAGCTTCTCGTGGATCAGTGGTTCTTTGGTTCTTCCGGGGTTCTTCCTCCACCATTAATACTGGTCAACATGTAGTGCCTATCTTGTGCTAAAAAATGATGTTAAACCCTCTAACAATAACAACCAACCAATACTAACAAAAAGCTAAGCTATTTGTGCAGGGCAAAGTACCTATAATCATTCATATTATTTGTAATATGACAGGGTAATTATGATTTGTGATTGGCACTTTTGACAGATGGTAACAACTACATGTATATGACATTCAATTGAGACTATGCACACCTTACTGCATTCAACAACTAATGCATTTAAAATTTAAGTCCAGTCATAGGATCCTACTGGATTTAATATGGATGGGAGTGGGTGGGTCAGGATGTTTTTGGGGCAATGAGATATGATACATGTTTTCTTATGCTTGTGCTTTATTACATCAGATTACACTGAAAGGCAAATTGTCTAATTAAATATATTTCTAAAATATTCTTTATTGCGTTCATCGTGGCATTTACTGAAAAGAGATTGATGCATGCCCAAAAAAAATGAAACAAAACTACTTCGCCAAGGCTGTCTACAGTGTATACAGGCATTATTCAAACGTTTGTATGGTAAAAAGCAGGATCTACAGATATTGCAGTTTTGGGGCAAAATGAAACTTTTCTACAGCTATTGGGAATCCATGATTGTGGTCTGATGGTCAGACTAATTGGTTTTATTATTATTATTATTATTATTACTTTATTTAAAGAGGGTAACTCAATTAGCTAAGAACTAATCTACCTCGAGGCCCTCATTCAAAGGAATTTAATTATTTTTGCTGCATCTCTGAAGCCACTGTATATACTGGGTTTGGAAAAAGAAAATAGAGTGGGCATTTTTAATCTCAACTGGAATGCTTTTCCAGAGCAAAGTTCCAGAGTATTGGAAATTTTTTTTAAAATAATTCCTTTTTTGGTTTGGGAATTTTATAATGTTTGGTAAACATTGATCGCATGTAGAGAGTATTTCCAGGTAACCTATACTTGACTAGTGATTGTAAATATTCCGGAGCACTATTATTGGCTATCCTGTACATTAATTTGGATTTTCTTAAACAGATTCGGTCTTTATTAGGTAATATTTTTAACTTACCAGCTAAATTTTTCTTGCTTTCTTTCTAGATTGATATGAACTCAAAAGCTCTTTTTTGGAGATGTGCCAGCTTTGCTAAGTTTTTATCATTTGAATTACCCCATATTGTATTACAGTAGTCTAAATAGGGTTGTATGTAACTGTTAAAAAATAGTTTTCTGTGCTTTTCCGGGAGAAAGTGTCTTATCCTACTGAGAAGCCATAAACTTGAATTGACTTTTTTACTGATATGTTTGATATGTTCAGTCCATGATAGATTATCTACCAAAACACCAAGTAGACTATTGTGACAGACCATTTGCAAACTTTTATCCTTCCATGTCAGACATAGTTCATCACTATCAAGTTCTGTTCTTTTGTTCTGTGTTGAGATGAGTAATATGTTAGTTTTACCAGTATTAACCACCATACCATTGTTTAGGGCATTCTGTAAAGAAATTTCGAGTTCTTGCTTTGTGTTTTGGATGTCTGACAATGTTGTGCCATCTGCATAGAGATCTGTAGATGATACTGAGTCCTTTAGTACAAGTGGTAGGTCATTAATAAAAAAAATAAAACAGTCATGGACCCAGAATTGAGCCTTGTGGTACTCCACATCTAATTATTCCAGGTTCAGACAGAACATTATTTATATAAACATGTTGTGTTCTCTCACTTAAGTAGTAAACCATCTAACTGTGCTATCATCACATTGGTAGATTTTCAGTTTCTTCAAAAGGATTTCATGATCCACCATGTCAAAAGCTTTCCTAAAATCTACAAATACTATTATTCTACCTTAGTCAAGTGCTTGGAGCCATTTATCAGTTAGGGAGATCAAGGCATTCTCACATGAATGTTTCTGTCTAAAGCCTGATTGATTAGGTTATAACTGAAAGTGTTAAGTTAAATATGATATGAATGAATAATGGACATGCTTTTCAATCAATTTTGACAAGTTTGGTAGTATTGAGATTGGCTGGTAGTTATCCTCATTATCCTTAGGACCAGATTTATGAATAGGAGTTACTGTTGCAGTTTTCCATATTTTGGGGACAGATGAGGATGCAATACTTCAATTATGAATGCTATGCTATCTACAATAGCAGAGACAGAAGATTTAATGAGTCATGGACCAATCTGATCAAGTCATGTAGCTTTCTTAGTATCAAGTTCCCCGAGATATTTCTTAACAAAGTTTTTTCAGACTGGTGGGATAGAGAAACATACCTCTTTAGAGATCTTGCTGCTGCAGAACTTTTTCAGTTCATTAAAGTTGTTTTCAATCACTGGTTCTTTTAACTTTGTGGTAATGTTGGTGAAAAAAAATCATTGAAAACATTTGCAATTTCATTGTCATCAGTGACTAAGGTGTCATTTACCAGAAATGAGTGAATTTTATTTATCTGATCTTTGTGTGTTCCTCCAGTCAGTTAATTGAAGACTTTCCAAATGCAGTTTTTGTCGCTCTTTTTGTTTTCAAGCAATGATTGATAATAATTTTGTTTAGCTTTTTTAATCATACTTGTTATTTTATTTCTCCATACTTTATATTGTGCATGGTTTCCCATAGCCTTGAATTGGTCTCTTGATTTTAGAGCATCAAGGATTTCAGTTGTAAGCCAATTTGGATGGATTTCATTCTTTACTCTTTGTACTTTCAGTGGTGCATGTTTAGAGACTACATCCATAAATAGGTCAGTCCACACCCTCAGAGCTTCATCTACGTCATCCAAATTTTGGATCATATTCCATGGAACTTTATATAGGTCATTGAGAAATTGTTCTTCATTAAAATTTTTGAATGATCTGAAAGTGATAGTTTTATGTGTATTTTTCTTATTTCTCTTGCATTTAACCTTTCTTGTCAAAAAAGTAGGATAGTGGTCACTAAGACCAACTTTTGGTATGTTAACACAAGTTATATTGTCTGGTAGGTTGGTATAAATCAATAAGAGTTTGGTTTGTTTCTATATCTGGAGGCAAGTACATGTTATGAATTGGAGAGTGCTTTCAGATGCTGATGTCTTTTTTTCATTGATAATGTTTATTGATTTCCGTCAGACTAAACTTCCTTTACAGAATTCAAAATTATAAGACTATCCCAAGGGCTCAACAGAACCTACCACATCATGGTTTTTACTGATCTTCTAGTATTTTGATACTTGGAAAATTATACACAGCCCTTACCAGATTATTACATATCCTAGTGATTTCCTTATTCTCCACACACATTGTATACAATAAAACAAAGGCATTCTTTTCCTCCAGTGTCAACTCTTTCCCTTATAACTTATAATGTTCATCTTGATTTAGACCAATACTAAATGACACTTCAATGTTCTAAGGCGGCAAATCTAGTAAGATTCCTTTTCCTTCCTGGTTTCGGAACTCCAGCTGTGGTTGTTAGCAATTGTTGAGAGTGGTCTAAACCAAAAAGGCTAGAAAAAGAAACTATGCACTAGTCGAATTAGTCTTTGTAGCCGACAGCTTCTTTTCAATTTTTTTCTAAATCTTTTTAGCATCCTTTAATTATTACAATAAGAATATAATATCCAGTATAGAATCAAATATCTGGTATATGATCTGCATTACATAAATCTACACAAAGTAATGGATGTCGCTTTGGCTTGTAGACTTTTAGGGAATTATAAACATTTTTCAGTATTTGCAACAAGTCTATACAGGCTTGTTGAGACAATGAGTTTGTGCTTAATTGTTTCTTTTGTATATTTTTTGTATTTGCCTTTGAAAAAGACTCATTAAGAGTCGAAAGTGCTCAGGCTAGTTACTAGTTTCACACTGTTCGTCATCAGTTTATTGCATATATATATATATATATATATATATATATATATATATATATATATATATATATATATATATATATATATATATATATAGCTCTGGTGGCCTAGTGGTTAGAGCATCTGTCTTGGATGTGAGAGGTTGTGGGTTCAATCCCCTGCTGAGTCATACCAAAGACTACAAATATGGTACTAACAGCTGCCTCACTTGGCACTCAGCATTAAGGTTAGTGTTAGGACTGGTCGGCCTGGTGTCAGGATAATGTGACTGGGTGAGACATCATGCTACATGTCTGCAGCATGATGCCTCAGTGCTAGACATCACTATAAAACTGCCACACTGCAGACATCGTAGCGATATGACTGAAAAATTTTAAAAGCTACATTAAAAATCTAAATCACAACAACACAAATAGAGCAGATATATGTAAGCTTAACAAATCTTCACTTCCAAAAGTGGAACTAGATGACTACAATTATTAAAGGTTTGGGATGAAAAATACAGTTTCTATACAATGTGTAATCTAACAATATATAATTTCTCTCTTTATTGTTAAACCTAGTACAGTGTACACCAAACTGGATGAAACCATACCACTAAATAAGGTAATGTTAATACTATCTGTTAAGTTTGGTGTCTTGCATCTATAACATGACATCCATCTTAGAATTTGTATTATTTAATTCTTCCACAATTGTTTTATATTTTCTTGGATGTCTGATTTTATTATTAGTAGATCTCTCTCTGCCCTAGGTAGAATTACACAAATAGTTACGGAAACATCATTTATAATTAATCTGATATATAACATATGATTTCATTAATACCAAACAGAAGCACATAGTCTCTCAAAGGTGGAGAACATTGAAGCCTGAAGGAGAAATCGGATCCAAGATTTAGTTGGCTATGCACTTATAGTCATATATGCCAGACATGTCCATCTAAAGTAGAAAAGGCAAATGCTTCTCACTGTATGTAACCACATTCAATGATATGTACTAATCATTTGAAAAATGCAAACATTTGGAATATTTTATACTGACTAGGAGCCAAAGCAATAATCCTTGATTACCTCCCTTTGTCAAAGTCCCACCACAATACACACTGAAATTCATTTAGGTTCTGCTATAAATCACATCTGTATGGGAACCAAAATACATCTTTTTGCTTATATCAAGAAGTTTACAAGATAAGCTTGTATTCTTTGAAGAAATTTATTATTACAGCAGGTTCCTAAACTGAAATCAAATTCATTTATATCTTCAAATCAATACCTCAGACAGCTAATCTTTGCCACAGGTTTTAAGGTAAACTGCTTTGGTACATGAATAATCATTATGTAAGTGACTAATTACTCTATGAACTATATTACTGGCTTATATGTAGAGGTATATGAATCACTGTATTGCAAAGAATAATGGTTGCTGATTGACTGAAAATAATGACTATGAAAACAAAATAAAATATTTTGGAAGGTGCCAAGTATGGGTGAATTGTATGCAATAACAGACTAGAACCTGCAACCATTTAACTTTCATTGCTGTTGCCGCACAAGAATTTCATAGTGAGTATAAGGGGATTTTTCTCAAAACCAAGATGTACTGCATATCATTTTACATCATTTTAATGTTTCCTTTTGGACATATACACAGAATGTAAGCATATTTTGGCATGAAAGTATGGTGATTTTGCCAAACAGATCTATTATTGTCTATACAGAATGAATTGCATGTGCTTATATGTAGGAGCAGAATTCATGTTTGCAAGCATTTTTTTCCTGTATGAATGCATTTGTCTGTCTTTTTATAGCATGGAAGTAAATGTGTGTATATATGAAAAGGGATTTACATAAAGATAGGTACATAATATCAGATACAGTATAAAAAATGCCAATATTTTTCAAGTAAAACATGCCACAAAATTGTGCATAAAAAAGCACAAATCACTATAATCTGCAATAAAAACACCATAAAGGGAAAAATTAAGAAATGTAACATTTACCCAATGATTAAACAGCAAATTCTGATGGACATTTCTTTGTAATGAAAACAAAACTAGAAATGTATTTGTAGAACACTGATGCCACATCACATTGTCTGAAACTGATCTAAACAAAGCCTTATCAAGCTGTGATTGATGGACATTTGTAACAACTACATACCATACCACCATTACTGGAAGTAATATCTTGCTATGATCAATCTGAGCATAAAATGATTAATTTGGTGGAATTAAATATAACAATGTTGAATTTTACAAAATGTATGTTGTATCATTTGTCATCTATAAAGATGATATCTATAGTTACTTATCATGGAAAAAAAATCAAATTATCATCAAATTAGATATTTTCTTAACCGTATAGTCTTGCTCTTAATTAGAAATGAAATCTCTACAAGTATAAAGTTAAAAAGTACTTAATAAAACATGACACCAATATAAAAAACCTATGGATTCATTTGCAAAATTCTAAATCATAGAAAACTTTTTTGTCACCTTTCAGTCATTGGCTAAACAAAATTATGAATATGTTTTGTTTATACCAAAATGTGCAGCACTATACATAACCCCTATAATGTTATTAATCCATAATTAACACATTTCAATTAAATTAGCATTTGTTAAAGAATAAAAAACAAGTTTACATATTTAAATATGATGCAGATATACCTGTATACTACAAATTTGTTACATCAATAAAATAATGAAAAACAAAACAATGGAAATATGAAAATGGTCCACAACACTGTAGAATGGTCCCATATGTTTGAGAAACTTAAATGTCACTGCCAATCCAATAATTTCTACAAACACTTTGTATGGTGCAAGCTTTTTCAAGACTGTCAATCTTGTATTTTCAGTGATGTAATATCTCTAATTTTCAGAAAAGATTGCATTTCATATCTAATTTTTATTGTTAAGTTAAATTATATTTGTGTACTATATTCAATAACTTCTTTATCTATGTTCATAGAAAACCTTAATAGATAAACATGTATCACTTAAGATAAATAAAAAGCTGAATTGAACTTTTCTTAAAAACCTCTCATTAGAGATAAGACAGAGGTGGATACGATTAATTTTAGTTATGTGAACATATTCCACAAATCTTGTCAAACATCAACAAGCTTTGTACAACTGGTTGTATTAGTGTTCTTGTATTTTGTCTATCATGAAATAAAATATACAAATTTGGTCTCATGTAACTAAAATATGCCTCCCACTAAAAATTTTAGATGACAAAGTTTGTACTTGTAGGCTATTTTTTTGTGGTCCCAATAAATAATACTCTAACACCTTGTCTTATACAGGCATACAGAAACAAACAAGTAATACATTATCTCACATATTGTCCATACACAGGCAAATATATTTTTAAGACTGGAGTGATACACCTCATGCTTTTAAGTGGATAATCTATAAGAGACAAAAATATGGGTGGATGTACAGACTGATGGACTGACAGAAATATTGATAGATGGACAGACAGACTGACAGAGAGAAATATGGACAGGCAGAATTATGGCTAGATGGACAAATGAATGGTATTACAATATTCCATAAACTTTTCTGGGAGAGTATGGAAACCACAATTTATACTACCAAATGCATCAGGTAAGAAAAAAGTTGTCATATCCATAAACTATTTAAATCTTTTTACTAATTTTGTGCTCATATTTGTAACAATCAGTCTCTACAAGCATCAACAAAATAAAAACTTTAACTTTCTGCATCTGAATCACATCCCTTTGCTTCCATGTTTTGACCTCTAGCCTAAAGACTAAACCTTTTGGGTATGAACTGCCTCAAGAACAAATGTCACTTTGATGTGAACTTTAGTAAGTACATGTCTGTATTATGGAGATATCAACAGTTTTCAAGCTATGACTCAGGGGCTTTTTTCTATGGAGACAATGTCATTTACATACAAAAATTTGTCTTTTAATGCCCAGAAAATGTATGCTGATTTTAGGGTGAGGATCTGAATATTTTCAAAATTATTACCCAGGGAGAACTAAGTACCTGGATAGGAAGAGACCCTGAGATAAATATCAGCTTTATGTATACATTCATATTTTCATCCCCAACATGGGCCTAAGGTGGCTGATTGGTCTAAGGTACTACCCTAGATAGATCACTGCCATCTCACCTGCCTGAGTTGGTAGGACTCCCAGGCTTGGCCAATGTGCGTATGTGAGAAAGCTTGCCAATGGCTTTCTGTGGATTGGTGGTTCTTCCCAGGGCTGGGTTCCTTTTCCATCACTTATACTGGTCACCATATATAGCCTATCACATGCTTAGAAATGGCATTGAACTCACACAAATATAAAACACCCAAACCCAAACCAATCATGGCAAATAAGTATATATAGTTATAGGGTGGCAATATCAATAGTTTATATATTATGACCCAGGGGTTAAGTCCAAGCTAGAAGATAGGTAAAAACCTATGAGGCATGACCCAGAGTCCCAGTCTGACATGTACTGACAATCAAGGAAATTGATTAAACATGCCAATTCTCATAAACACCAAACTAAAACTCAGGACATATTTAGAATGTTTGTAAAAATACTCCTTCATCCCCATTCCCAAACCTTGCCACCCTAGTCCTACAACTAAGGGTGAGATAAGAAATAGTAAAAGTGTTGGCACAATCTAAAATAGAACTATCAATGATGCCTTTAATGGTGAAGGAGAAATTGAAGAATATTCCACACATACAAATGTATAGACTGTATATAACATTATCCCTGAATTGGGAAAACAAATAATTTTGACAGTCAACTATTTGTGAAAAGACTACATGGTAGTCAAATTTGATTCTGACATCTTAAAAGTATTTGGGTGATAAGTTATTTCTCCAAAATTTCAATAAAAATTATTCATATATTACAAAAAAGCATTTGAAATGAGTTAAAATCGCTAAGTTATGTTAAAATAACTATGTTGATGAACATATTCCAACAATGACAGATTTTAAGCCAACAATTAAAAGTTGACTGATAAAAAAAATATCCATACATTATGTCATGTAGAAATGAAACAGTAATATAAAATGAGAAATAACAGCACCAAATATTTTTGCAAAAACTATGCCAACTGCACACAAGGTGATTATCAGAAATTCTGAGAGCTACATTTGCATATAACTTTAATCAACAATTTT